TTAGATGGTAAAAGTTCATAATGAAGAATTCCTTTAAAATTCCACCAAACACACAACATCACTTTTTTCGCATGCAAGTCAGGTTTTGGCGTGGGCTGCGGAGCCTCATTTTTGTCCAACCATTGAGACCGCCTTTTCAAATGAACATACAGCACCCATTTTTCATCTCCGGTAACAATTTGCTCTAAAAACGGCAAACGGTTTTGACGAGAGAGGAGCGAACTGCAAATTGTGACTCTTTGATTACGGTTGTTGTCGGTCAACTCATGAGGAACCCATTTTCCAAACTTTTGGACTTTGCCAAGTGCACGCAATTGATTGGAAATTGTCTTTTGTGAACAATTTAAAGTTGTCGCAAGCTCTTGTTGGGTAATTTGAGGATTTTGCACCAAAAGAGCTTGAAGAGCTTCTTGATCAAAATTGGACACATGGCCTCGACCACTCTTGTCATCTAACGAAAAATTTCCCTCGTGAAATTTCTCAAACCAACGCTGGCATTTTCTGGCGCTAACTGCATCTTGACCAAGAGCACTACAGATGTTTTTTGCAGCCTCACTTGCTTTTCTTCCTAATTGGAACTCGTAAAGCATGCAGTGCCAAATATGCTCTTCATCCGCCATCTTCTTAGCCCTAGTTTTGCAACAAAAACCAAACCAAACACAAACTTTTTCAAGCAAAACTTGTTAATTGCACTTCACACGTTCTGTAGATACCACGTGTTTGAAGATTATGTCAATACAAGTCAACACCAAGCAAGATTTTAAACGAATGTTTAAAAACGACATTAATTATTACTAGACCCGATAATACACATGAGAAAACTGAAGGACAGAGGTGAAATACCTTGCTCCAAGGCCATGTAGCTAGTAGCAAAGCCAGAATATAGCCTGCTTGGTTCATAACCCTTAATTCTAAACACAGCTTCATTTTTTGGCCCTGTACCGTTTTCACCAAGGTGGACTACATTTCAGATAGTGATTTTTTAAAAATTTATTTTTTTGCCTAGAATGCCTGTCTTTCCTCCATTTATTTCTCCCTTACACTAAAGTTGAAATATTTAGAAGGCTTAAAGATCAACCTTATTAGGAAATTCTCTATCCTAAAAAAATATATTAACGCTTCACCTGTTTTTAAGATTTTTTTAAAAAAATATATTTTATTGATTTTATACTGAGAGGAAGGGAGAGAGATAGAGAGTTAGAAACATCAATGAGAGAGAGTCATTGATCAGCTGCCTCTTGCACACCCCCTACTGGGGATACCCGCAACCAGGGTACATGCCCTTGACCGGAGTCGAACCCGGGACCTTTCAGTCCCCAAGCCGACGCTCTATCCATTGAGCCAAACCGGTCCCGGCTGTTTTTAAGATTTTTATCTTTAATTTTCGACAGCTTCATTATGACGTGTGTGTGGATTTGTTTTTATATGTCTGTGTCAGTTAGGTTTTGCTGTGAAATAAAACCTCTGGAAAACTTGGTGGCTTAAAACGACAATCATTGATTTAGCTCATAATTCTTTTGGTTGGCAGTTTGGGCTGGGCCCAGCTGGATGGTTCTTCTCAGCTACACAAGACCTTGGTTCCACACGGGCTCCCACACGTGCCTGTGGTCAGCTGCAGGTGAGGCAGACAGCTCTGCTTCTGTGTGTTGGCTGGGGCAAGTGGAGGTGATTGAGTTACATATTTCATTATTCAATAGGTTAGCCTGGCCTTGTTCACGTTGCAGCAGCAGGGTTCCAGGAGAGAAAAACATATAAGGCCTCTTGAGGTCTAGTTTCAGAACAGGCACTTCGCTTCTACTGCATTCTATTGGTCAAAACAAGCCCAGATCAAAGGGTGGGGAAATAAACCACTTCTTGATGTGAAAGCTATAAAGTCACATAGATATAGCCAGTAAAAGAACTGTGGCCTCTTTCTGTAAATGCTCTTCCACATTAACCTGTGGAGCTTCGTTTTATTTTTTGAATCAATAGATTGTATTCTTTCATTGTCCTGAGAAAATTTCAGCTATATCTCTTTAAATGTTGCCTCTGTTTCATTCTATTTTCCCCTCTAAGATGCCACTGAAACCCCTCTTAGATCCTGTTACTGTGACCTCTGTGTATCTCCTATCCTGTCTTCTGTACTTACCATTTTAATGCTTTATTCTGACCTGCCTCTAAGTTTATCAGTTCTTCAAATGTGCCATTAAGAACTCCACTGAGTTTTTAAGTTTGGTTATAGTATATTTTTAACATATATATTTTAGTTTATTGACTGACGAGAGAGAGGAAGGGGAGAGATCATTGATTTATTGTTCCACTTATTTACGTATTCATTGATTGATTCTTTTTAAAAATATATTTTATTGATTTTTTACAGAGAGGAAGGGAGAGGAATAGAGAGACAGAAACATTGATGAGAGAGAACCATCAACCAGCTGCCTACTGGGGATATGCCCACAACCAGTGTACATGCCATTGACCAGAATCGAACCTGGGATCTTTCAGTCCACAGACCGACGCTCTATCCACTGAGCCAAACCGGTTTCAGCCATTGGTTGATTCTTGTATGTGCCCTGAGCAAGGATGGAACCCACCTTGGAATATTAGGATAATGTTCAAACCAACTGACCTACCTGGCCAGAGCTGGTTATAGTATTTTTGTAGTTCTATAGTTTTTTTTTCTTTTTTTTCAAATGACACTTTTCATGATTCCTAGTTTCTTGCTAAAACTTAAAGCTTATCTTTATCTTCATAAACATGGTTTTATTATAGTCTTTGATTACTCCAGTATCTAGAGTCCCTTGTTGGTTGTTATTGTCTGTTGCTTTTGTTGATTCTAGCTCATATTGTCATGTGCCTTGTAATATTCATTTATTGGGTAAGTGATTTAAAATGTATTTTTTAAAAACAGTAGGTGTCCTAGGAAGTTACCTTTCAGAGAGTATTTTCATTTCCTTCTTCCAGACATTTGAGGGTGCTAGCCTTAGCTTCAGAATTTTTTGCTTTTCCTTGGATATCCGTGGAAAAGATTTTGTACCTTATTTCTAAAGTGCTAGTGTCCCTTCTTTGGCCGGCTAGGAACTGAGATCCTGATTCTTCAAGAAATTGCAACTTGAGTTCCAAAGCAGAACCCATCCCCTCCCCATCAGAAATGCCACTCTACCTCTCAGCTGTCTGGATTTCCAGAGACTGCAAATGCTTTCAGGCAGAAGCTATTATTTATCTCTTTATGCTCCTATTCTCACCTGTTTTCTCTTTTTGTTAGGATTTTATGCTGTTAATTTTTATTTCTTTCAGCTTTTTATTTTTTGAGGTAGGTTTGGTCTAATCATTTAGTTCACCATTACTATAAATGAAAGATCTATTAATACATGCCTACTTCATTCATTTTGGTCTTAAGTAGTGACTGTGGTATATTTTCGTGTGTATATGTTTTATTTACTTTCAGATTCAAGTGCCAAAAAATCATGAATTGACTTACCTTTATTTAGTTCATATACATAATTTATTTACTTTCATTTACTATACATAATTTATTTACTTTCAGATTCAAGTGCCAAAAAATCATGAATTGACTTACCTTTATTTAGTTCATATACATAATTTTTACTGAGCATAATAAACGCTCAGTAAAAATTGTTGATAGGACAGATGCAAGATGCCTTAATGAAATATACTTCCTCCATAATATTAAAATATGTTTTATTAAAATTGATCTTAAATCGCACTCATATGCAGAATATAAGTAATAAAATAAGCTGATGAATGGAGTGGATCCAGAAACATGGAAACATGGAACAGAGTGAGGAATCTCAGAGGGAAGGCAGGGGAGGGTAATTAACTAAAGACCTTGTATGCATAACCCATGGACACAGACAGTAGGGTGCTGAAGGCCTGGGGCAGGGCAGGGTGTGTGTGTCTAGAGGGGGGTCAATGGGGGAAAAAAGGACATGAAATACTTTCAACAACAAAGAATTATTTATTTAAAAAATATATATATTTTTATTGATTTCAGAGAGGAGGGGAGAGGGAGAGAAAGATAGAAACATCAGTCATGAGAGAGGATCACTGATCAGCTGCCTCCTTCATGTCCCCCACTGGGGATCGAGCCCCAAACCTAGGCATCTGCCCTTGACTGGAATTGAACCCGGGACCCTTCAGTCCGCAGGCCGATGCTCTATCCACTGTGCCAAACTGGCCAGGGCTAAAGAATTATTTAAAAAAAAAAAATTGATCTTAGGGAAAAAGGGAGAGAGATGGAGAAACATCAATGTGAGAGAGATACATTAATCAGTTGCCTCTCACTAAGACATTCAACCTCTAATATTTGGTTTAATTGTCTAGTCGATATTATTCTAGTGTTGGTGACCCTGGATTAATTAGGTCCACAAGAGGAAAGGGTCTGGGTCACCTTGAATAATGTTCTCGTGTAATATATAATTGAAGGAAATAATGGCTTATCATTGAAGGCATTTGAAAGGAAATTTGACTTTTTGGTTTAAATTCATAACTACAACTTTTAAGCAAAAGTGGCACCTTAGATCCAGTAACTTGTTATTATAGATTCACTCTTTCTTGTGATGGACTAAAAATCTTTTTTAAAAAAGGACATCTTGCCGAAACCGGTTTGGCTCAGTGGATAGAGCGACGGTCTGTGGACTGAAAGGCCCCAGGTTCGATTCCGGTCAAGGGCATGTACCTTGGTTGCAGGCACATCCCCAGTAGGGAGTGTTCAGGAGGCAGCTGATTGATGATTCTCTCTCATTGATGTTTCTAACTCTCTATCCCTCTCTCTTCCTCTCTGTAAAAAATCAAATATATATATATATATATATATACATACATATATATATATATATATATATATATAGGCATCTGTGGTGTACTATAAAGAATACCAGAAAAGAAAGCACTAGGAAAGACATCAAGATAAATAGAAATGAATAAATGATGTCAATGTAAACATTAGAATATATAGTGGCCTCTGAACATTTTTTTTTTTTTTAATATTATTTTAGGTATCGTCAGATCCTGGAAAAAGCCATTCAGTTATCTGGGGCAGAACAACTAGAAGCTTTGAAAGCTTTTGTGGAAGCAAGTAAGTGTAATGAAAATTCCATATTTGCTTTGTATTACTGAGTAGGACTTTAAAGCTTGTCTCAGTCTTGTCTCATATCAAATTATCACTATAATTTTTATGAGATTAAATGACATATACAAGGAGGGACGAAGTAAGTTTACAGTTCATATGGAAAATAATACAATAATTAATAAATAATGCAATAATAAACTGTGTTTGGCATACAACATTGAAATTGATGGATTTATTTTAGAATTTAAACTACTTACAACTTGATTTATTTATTTATTTTTAAAATATATTTATTGATATTTTACAGAGAGGAAGGGAGAGAGCTAGAGAGCTAGAAATGTTGATGAGATAGAAACATACACCAGCTGCCTCTTGCACACCCCCTACTGGGGAGGTGCCGCAACCAATGTACATGCCCTTGACTGGAATTGAACCTGGGACCTTTCAGTCCGCAGACCGACGCTCTACCACTGAGCCAAATTGGTTTCGGCGCAACTTGACTTATTTAAATGAATTGTCTCCAGAGTTATATTCCCGATTAAAATTTTGTATAGTTGCTAATAGAAATTGATAAGAGACAATGTAGCATAGTGACAAAGAAAGTAGACTGCATTCAAATCCTAGTCTACTGTTTTATTAGTTGTGTCTTCTTCTTTAACCTCTTTGTGCCTTCTTTACCTTTCTATACAGTAAGGATATGATATGTACCCTATAGAATTGTTGGGAGATTAAGTGAGTTATACATAATAAAGTGCTTAGAATAATACCTGGCATATAAAAAGTGCTGTGTATGAATGAGCTGTTATTAATGTCAAGATCATTCCTTTTGGATAGGAACTAGAAATTTTCATATTTCAAGACACTCTCCCCACCTCCCTGACTTCAGTTATCTTGAAAATTACTCAGAATTCAGGCTCAGATTGATACTGCATTAACAATATCAGCAATGCTTGGTAGTACTTTACAGTTTACAGTGTGTTTTCACATATAATATCTACCATACCAGTTCCTTTTAATAACTGTGACTGCAGAGTATAGATATATTCTTGTATAATATATTGTCAAAAAAAAAAAAAAAAAAGTCAAGATTAAGTCACTTTTACCCCCCAGGGACATTCAGTTAGTGGTAGAGCCCAGACTAGAAACTAATTTTTCTGATTTATTGTCCTTATTTACTTGTATTTCCCTGATAAGTGCTAGTTTGTATAGTAATTTCTTTTAAACAGCTTTGTGTCTAATGGCACTTGTAATGAAACTGTTTTCTCAGTTACAACCAGTATTTAATAACGAATTCCAAATAATATATCATAAACTGATTAACATTGTAATATACTAGAGGCCCAGTACACAAGATTTGTGCACTTGGGGTGTGGGGGTGGGGATCCCTCAGCCTGGCCTGTGCGCAGTCTGGGAGCCCTCAGGGGATGTCGATTGATGGCTTAGACCCGTTTCCTGTGCTGACCTAAGTTCTTATTTGTTGCTTTTATTGGAAAATATAAGTGGTATTCACTGTAACTATTTATTAAATTTCATGAAAATTATTTCACTGTTTTCTTTAACTCCTTTTTGTAGCGAGGTGGGACATAAGGACATAAATAAAAATAGGGGTATTTCTGTGCCTTTGCTTTGTATAAAAATAAAGAAGAGAAAGGAATAACATAAAATGCTCAGCTATTAAAAATTTTTGTCAACCATTTGTATTTCTTAGAGAAGTTATGGTAGTTTTACTATTTTGTTGAAGTCGTTATGCAATCTAATAATTCAGTATAAGGGAAGTTTAATCTGTAATATAGGATGATAGGGATGTGAAAAATAGGAATAATGCATTGCAGGTTGCACTAATACATATAGTTTTTAGTATTAATTTTAGGTAAAGATTGCTTAATAAAAATTTTATAAATTACTCATGCTTTTTTATTTCTTATTTTTTTGACAAGTGGTAAATGAGAATGTCAGCCTTGTGATCTCTCGGCAGTTGCTGACTGATTTCTGCACACATCTCCCTAACTTGCCTGATAGCACAGCCAAAGAAATCTATCATTTCACCTTGGAAAAGATCCAGCCTAGAGTCATTTCATTTGAGGAGCAGGTAAAAAATTTATTGCAGTGATATATGAACTTGAGATAGTAGTAATTATTTTGAGAGATATTATTACATTTTTAAGGAGATTATCATTCATTTTTATTTTGTTAAAATTGCACTAAACAGCATTTTACTATATGTAATAAAATAAACATTATGTCATTGTAACTCCAGCTGACATTTGCTTATTTATTACAATTTTATTTTATGCACCAAATATTACTCTTTAGGCAGTTTTTAAAAATCAGTTAAATTGTTAATTATGCTGAAAATATAGGAAAATTCCAGCATTATCTGTGCAGTAACATAAAAGCAAAACTTCATATTTAAACTACATTATTGCCATAATCCACATTATAATAATGTACTATTTCAGTTTACTGTTTTGTTATTGTTATTCTATCAATACAAAATTCATAGAAAAATTTGGGTGGTTTAGGTAAATTTTTAATAATTATACTTGCCAGCTTGCTATGTTGAATGAGACAATTGTGACAATACAGTTATTTACTTATTTTAATTAGTTAAATAATAATAATTGATATAACATGTGTACCTACTCTTTCAGGTTGCTTCCATAAGACAGCATCTTGCATCCATATATGAGAAAGAAGAAGATTGGAGAAATGCAGCCCAAGTGTTGGTGGGAATTCCTTTGGAAACAGGACAAAAGTATAATAAATAGTGGATATTGGATGGAAATATGTACCCATATATGTATATATACACATACACATAACATATGAAGTATATGTATAATTGTTTGCTTACATTTTTCCTCACATTCTAGTATTGGAAGCAGATGATAAACAAGTTAATAAATAAATTTTGTAGTATATTAGAAAGTGATAAGGCCTATGGAGAAAAGCAAAGTAAGGTTGTATTATTAAATAGGTTGATTGAAGTGGTAGGGTGATTGGAATGGTAGGGTGATTGCAGTGGTAGGGTGATCCTGATACCACCTTCTCAGACTTCTGAAGGAGGTAAGTGAGTGGCTATGAGCACTCTGAGGGAAGAGCATTAGTAGATCCTCTTAGAGAGGTTGGCTAGTGCAAAGGCCCTAAAATGGGAGCATGCTTGGAGTTTTTTAAGAAGAGCAAGGAGGCCTGACCAGTTTGGCTCAGTGGATAGAGCATTGTCTTGTGGGCTGAAGGGTCCCACATTCAATTCCGGTCAAGGGAATGTAATAATACCTTGGTTATGGCTGATTGATGTTTCTCTCTCATCAATGTTCTAACTTTATATCCCTCTCCCTCTCTGTAAAAAAATCAATAAAATATATTTTAAAAAAAAAAAAGAAGAAGAAGAGCAAGGAGACCATTATGGGAGGAATGGAGTGAACAAAGGGGAGAGTGGGAGAGGATGAGATCAGAGTGTACTAAGGACTAGATTATGTGGGGTCTTGTAAGCCGTTGTAAGAAAAAGGTTGTATTTTTAAGTGAAATTAGGGGGAACCATTGGAACATATTTCACAGAAGACTGACATGATCTGACTTTAAGATTCATTCTGATTACTGAGTTGAGAATAAACTGTAGGCATGCAATGAGGGAAGTAGGGCCATTAGTTAGGAGACCTTATGCATTACTGCAGATGAAATGGAGATTGTGACAAATGTTGGATTCTGGGTATGTTTTTAAGGTAGAGCTGAATAAGGAATGTAAGAAAAGGAATCAAAATAAGTTTTGATTTTTGGTCTGAACAACTGGAAAAATAGAGTTGCCATATACTGGGCTGTGAAGAATAGGTTTTGAGGGAAGGTCAAGAGTTCTGTTTTGGACATTTGGTAACCAAGTGGAAATATCTTGTACAGAATTGAAAATATTAGTTTGGCCGAAACTGGTTTGGCTCAGTGTATAGAGCATCGGTCTGCGGACTGAAAGGTCCCAGGTTCGATTCCGGTCAAGGACATGTACATTAGTTGTGGGCACATCCCCGGTAGGGGGTGTGCAGGAGGCAGCTGGTTGATGGTTCTTTCTTATTGGTGTTTCTAGCTCTCTGTCCCTCTACCTTCCTCTCTGTAAAAAAATCAATAAAATATATATTTTTTAAAAAAGAATATTGATTTGGAGTTTAAGAGAGAGGTCTGGACTGGAGATATATATTTGTGAATCAGTGATAGATAGATGGAATTTTAAGCCATTAGATTGGATGAGATTTCCAAGGGAGGGACTATACATAGAGAAGAGGTCTGAGTTACTGAGGCCAGGAGCATTAAGAGGTCAGGAGTAGGAGGAAGATACAGCAAATGAGGATTTCCGTTGAGGTAAAAAGAAAACCCGAATGGAGTGTGTAGTGTCCTAGAAGTTAAAGGAGGAAAATGTATTGAGAAGGAACAAGTGATCAGCTGTAGTCCTGATAAGTCAAGTAAGATGAGTGAGGGTTAACCACAGGAGTGGGTAATGTGGAGGCCATTGGTGATCCTGACAAAAGTTGTTTGGTGAATTGGTGAGCGTGAAAGCCTGACTGAAGTTGTTTAAAAGAAAACACATATGAGAGAGAGAGAGAGAGAGAGAGAGAGAGAGAGAGAGAGAGAGAGAGAGAGAGGGAGAGAGAGAGAGAGAGAGAATGGGAAGAGAGAAATTTGAGATGGTGAGCAGTTGTCATGGGCAACTATGTGGGGAAGTTTTCACAAAGGAGCAGAGAAATAGGGTAGAAGATGATAACAGAGAAGAGATTATTTTTGCTTTTATAATCCTATGGAAAGCAAAACTTTGATATAGGAGAGTAGTGGAGAGGATTCCTGCAGGAGTAGACAAGAGGGGAAGGAATCTAGTGGAGGGATAGGCTTTATTTAGGAGCATAGATAGTTCATCTTGGCACTGTTTCTGATCCTTGGCACTGTTGGCATTATATATATATATATATATATACACACACACACACACACACACATATATATACTGTATATCTATACTAAATAAAAGCATAATATGCTAATTAGAACGGATGTCCTTCCAGATGAAGCTGGGTCCCAGGTGCCAGAGGGAAGCTGGTGCCAGCAGCTGGGGGAACTAAGGCCTACTCTTGCATGAATTTTGTGCATTGAGATATTTATATATAATTTATTTCAGAGAGAGGAAGGAAGAGGGAGAGAGAGAGATAGAAAAATCTATGAGAGAAAATCATTGGTTGGCTGCCTCCTGCATGTCCCCCATGTAACCTGTAACCTGCGCATGTGCCCTGACCAGGAATTGAACCGTCATCTTCTGGTTCATAGGTTGATGCTCAACCACTGAGCCACACCGGTTGGGCGGCACTGTTGACATTTTAGATAGGATGACTCTGTTGGGGAGGCTGTGTATTACAAAATGTTTAGCAGCATAAGGGGTCTCTACTCACTAGATGCCAATAGCACCACTACTCCCAGTTTTGACAATAAAAAATGTCTGCAGATATTGCCATTGGTTCCATGGTGTGCAGAATAGTAATAACCAGGAACACAGTGTGTGGTGCAGATAGTAATGAAGTGCTGGTAAGTTTGTGCAGCTATTCTGATTGCTTCAGTATTCTTATTGAAGTTGGAATCAGAGTCATCAACTGGAAGTGTGGCTTGGGATGGGAGTTGTAAGGATGAGGAGAGACGGATATAAAAAAATATTCTCTAGGAGAGGGGCAGTGCCTGGACTAAGAATGTATAGTATACTTGGCAGCATTAAGGGCTCGTTTGAAGGTTGTAGTGATCAAAGTGAGATCAGTCAGGTTGGTTAAATACTTTTCTCCGTTAGAGTTCTGTTTCGTGGTTGCAGGAAAGGAGTGGGCGAACTATTAGGTTTAACTGGAGTTTGATTTTGTCCAACAAGTGTGACTGCATGAGAGAGACAAGGGAGATGAGTGCATATGTAATTCAATGATTATGATCGATTAAAAGAGTTAAGCTAGGTAAGGAGATAAATGAGACCTTTTAGGGGAAAAAGACGCAGTGTAATAGGATCACGGGTTTGGAGGTCATAATGGGTTCAATGGATTGTTGGGTCTGGGATATTAGAGAAAGATACTAGAGATGGAAAAACAATGAGAAAAAAATTAAGACTATGGTTTATAAATCTTATTCAACCAATCTTGCCTTTTTATGTGTATTCATGAAATATTCATCCAAAGTATATTGTACAAAAAGATTGAAAGGTGTGAGACTCTTGATTGTATTATTAGACACATTTCCCCTTTCAGTAAGCAAATATAAAAATATATTTAGCTGCTTCTCTTTTGCCAGGTGAATGAGGGAGTCTGTATTTTGTCTCCATTAATATTTGTGATGATAAGGCAGATACTACTTCAGGCTTATTGCCGTTAGTGCATTTATTAAATTGTTAGGCAGTGATGCTCTTTGAAAAAGCAGCTAGTCCATGAAAAGGCTTTCATAACAAGAGGCTTTTACTTTCTAAAGCCTCTTGTTAATTCTTTTTTTCTTTGATATTTTGAAAGGGTGGGGCTTTCTTAATTGCTTTGATCTTATTCTGTCTTGAACATTTTCTTCTTAGCATAGAGCAGTTGATTTATTTTCTTTAATCATTGAAATAAATATTAAATTAGATATTCTTTGCAGTGGTGGTAATTATCATTTTGATAGTGCTATCACACTGAGAAGATACCAAAGAAATTAAAATTTCGTTCTTTTCTAAATAAGTTAAAATAAAGTAAAAGTGATTAACAGTTGAATTTGTTTATTAAGTAAAGAATTAATTTCAAATCTGGGGCAAAGTCAATTGTAAACTCTGTTGCTACATAGAGGCATCACTTTTGCTGGTAAATAGGATTAATTTTTCTGTGAGGATTAATCTTGAATTACATGATTTTTGGATTATACAGGGTCTTAAGTTATGTATTTCCTGCATAAAATGTGACCACTGTGATAAAGAAGAAAGGAAAACCACTTGTAATCTCACCACCTAGAGATAATTGCTATTATTATCTTGTTTTACCTAGTTTTTTTAAACTTAGCTAAAATATAGGATGACTATTATCACATAATAATTATTGTAATAATTGTATAGTATTTTACCAGTATTCAACTCAGTTGAATACCATAAATATTATTAGTGATTTCTATCCCCCCCCTTACAGATATTTATGGATAATTTTACAAATGAATATCTTTTTAATATATTTTTTTAATTGACTTTTTACAGAGAGGAAGGGAGAGGAATAGTTAGAAACATTGATGAGAGAGAAAGATCAGTCAGCTCCCTCCTGCACAACCCCTAACTGGGGATGTGCCCGCAACCATGGAAAATGCCCTTGACCAGAATCAAACCCTGGATCCTTCAGTCTGTAGATCGACACTCTATCCACTGAGCCAAATCAGTAGGTCACAAATGAATATCTTTATACATACATTTATATGCATGTCCATGATTATTTTCTTGGGATTTATTTCCTAGAGGTAAAATACAGGGTGTGGCAAAAGAGGTTTACAGTTCATATGGAAAAGTAACACAATAATTAATAAATAATAATACAAGAATATACTGTGTTTAGTGTACTCACAACTATAAACCTACTTTTGCCCCACCCTGTATAATGAGTAAAGAATATACACAATTTAAAGGATTCAAATGTGGTTGGAGAGCATATTGCCAGTTTTTTCTCCAGGACTTATTTATAGTCCTACCAGTAGTGTATGATCTTTGACATAAGATTATCTGAGAATTAGAAGAAGCTAAACTGTAATATGAACAACGATGGTGAAAATAATAAAAATTCATTAAAACTTATTTTGGAAATATTTCTTAGCTTTTCGATAATATAGTGCAGTAAAAAGCTTGATTCCATCATATTAACACAATAAAAAAGGAAAAAAAATTATCTACCACTTCTAATAATTTTTTTGATAAAATAGTCATTCGTGTTTTCCTGTTGTATTCTAGACAGTACAATGTGGATTATAAATTAGAGACCTACCTGAAGATTGCTAGGCTATATTTAGAGGATGATGATCCAGTCCAGGCAGAGGCTTACATAAATCGAGCATCATTGCTTCAGAATGAATCAACCAATGAACAGTTACAGATACATTATAAGGTAAGCAGTTGAGCTTATTTGGAATTTTATATTGGAGAATCCTGTTATTTTTTTCCAGAACATTATAAATACTATTACTTAGTAAAAATTCTCTCTTTTTTTATTTTTTGCTTTTAAAATGTCCCCCCTAATTGAAACATTTCTCTCTTATAGGTATGCTATGCACGTGTTCTTGATTATAGAAGAAAATTCATTGAAGCTGCACAAAGATACAATGAGCTCTCTTACAAGACAATAGTGCACGAAAGTGAAAGACTAGAAGCCTTAAAACATGCTTTGCATTGTACCATCTTAGCATCAGCAGGTAAACATGTCATTTATGTGTTAATGAACAGTCAATTTGCTTAATATTTTAGGTTCATTACTACTAAAGGATTTAGCAAAAGGATGTCTTATTAATACAGTTATGGGATATTTAGTTTAAACGTTTAAACAGAAACAGCAATAAAATAGATTTCGAACTTAAAAGTTTTAAATTACGGATGTATCAGTCTATTACCCACAGGTTTTAGGAATAGTTATGAAATTTAATTCTTCTAAAATATCACTGAAAAACGGATATAAAATTAAGTGAGAATTACACAGGAGATAAACATTAAATTCTAGAGATTGGTGATATGATAATTAATGTATTGCTTTAGGGATTTTTTTTAAACCATCAAGCCTCAGTTTTAGACTTGGCATTTATCTTTTTTTTTTTTCAATAAATATAAATAAACTATTTTTTGTACGTTTTATTAAATTTTATCATATAAATCACCAACTTATAAAGCAGAAAGGGCATTGAGAGGAAATGCTGAGAACTCCAAGACATGGCTTTTCCAAATAATTTTAGAATATTTATTAAATATATTACCACTGATCTCATCAGAAAATTCTTTAATTGTTGGAAAGCTGTCAAGCTTATTGTGGCAGATGGACGTGTTCCAAAATTCCTGTGGTTTTTTTAGTTGTGGAAAACTCGAATTTTATCGGGGGCCACAAATACTATTGATTGATAGTGATAGGCTCACTTTGTTCTTTTTAAAAAATATGTGTTTTCATTGATTTTATAGAGAGAAGGGTAGGGGGAGGAAGAGAGAGAAACATTGATTGGCTGCTGCTGGGAATTGAGCCCACAACCTGGGCATGTGTCCTAACTGGGAATTGAACCGGCTACCCCTTGGTGCACAGAAGGACGCTCAACTAATTGTGCCCCACCAGCCAAAGCCACTTTGTTCATTTTTAAGAAAATGCCTGCCAAATACCCACGTCTGAAAAACTGCAACTTATCAGTCATTATTTTATGTAAATGATGTTCCATGAAAAAAGAAACAAGAAGCTAGTTCAACATGCAGTGTTTCCTGGGGGACAGCTATTGTACCTGCTTTTGCAGCAGAAGTGCTTTGGTGCATTTTCCATTTCATCACATAAAATATTTAAAAGATGTGGTTTCAGGTATCAAGAATTAATAAAAATAATTTTTTACTGTTGCAAGAACATTTTTTAAAAATATATATTTTATTGATTTTACACAGAGAGGAATTGAGAGGGACAGAGAGTTAGAAACTTCAATGAGAGAGAAACATCGACCAGCTGCCTCTTGCACCCCCCCCACTGGGGATGTGCCTGCAACCAAGGTACATTGCCCTTGACCGGAATCGAACCTGGGACCTTTCAGTCCTCAGGCCGACGCTCTATCCACTGAGCCAAATCGGTCCTGGCTGTTGCAAGAACATTTTAAGTGAAACTATATTTTTATTTTATTTTTTAAAATATATTTTATTGATTTTTTTAGAGAGGAAGGGAGAGAGATAGAGCTAGAAACGTTGATGAGAGAGAAACATCGACCAGCTGCCTCCTGCACACCCCCCACTGGGGATGTGCCCGCAACCAATGTACATGTCCCTGACCGGAATCAAACCTGGGACCTTTTAGTCCGCAGACTAACGCTCTACCACTGAGTTTTGGCAAAACTATATTTTTATTTAGTTTTGTGCATGGGACAATACAGTTTGGCTCCCATGTCACTGCCTTGATTTGTGCTGTGACTTTCATGCCTTCTCCTGTTGCTACCTCCAACTTCCTCTCTCAAACAGTAACTACTAATGTAGATTACTTTTGTCTACTTTGTACTTAAATTTACCTTTAAATCCCAATTCATTTGGATTTAGTGTAAGGAATGAGATAGGGAAATTAATTTTTTTTTCTTAAATGACTATAGTCGTTTGACCTAGCAGCCTTTATTAAACAATTCATCTTTTTCACCCTATTGATTTAAAGCACATTATAGTAGATTTCTGGGTACAGTATTGTTTCATTAATTAGCCTGTCTGTGAATATACTGGTACCCTATTCTTTGAATTATTATAGCTTCATAACATGTTTTATTATCTAGCAGGTATATTCTCTCTTCAAAGTAACTTACAGGCCATCATGACTCTACCTCCTTATATATCATCATGCATCACCTAAGAATAAGAACATTTTTCTACATAACTGTAATACCAACATCATCCCTTAAAAAATTAACAGTGAGACCATTGTAGAATTTAGCATTTGGCCAAGTTGTCTCAGGAATATCTTTTTTTTTTTTTTTTAATATTTTATTGATTTTCCAGAGAGGAAGGGAGAGAGATAGAGAGCTAGAAACATTGAGAGAGAAACATTGACCAGCTGCCTCCTGCACACCCCCCATCAGGGATGTGCCTGCAACCAATGTACATGCCCTTGACTAGAATCGAACCTGGGACCTTCCAGTCTGCAGGCTGACTCACTATCCACTGAGCCAAACCGGTTTCGGCAGGAATATTTTTTATATCTGCCTTTTTCCGCTGAACAAGGAACAAGTTCATGTGTGGCATTTGGTGATTGTCTTTTTAGTCTTCAAACATTTTTTTTTTTCTTCAGACATTTTTGGTTTAGAATACATTTCTCGCTCCCAACTGAAGTTTCTTGAGATATAATTAACATATAACATTGTATAATTTTCTCACTTAAAAATAACACTGACTCTTTGAAGTTGTGTGGAATGTTCTTCACTCTAGATTTGTTTTTGTATATTTTGTTTATTTATTCCTTAATCCCAATTATTTTCTGTAAAGTAGAAGTTAGCCAAAGGTTAGATTAGATTCAGGTTAAAATTTTTCTATTAAGAATACCTCAGTGAAGCTTTGTCCTTGCAGTTGTATCACATCAGAGAACATATAACATCAGCTTGTCCCACAGTTAGTGATGCTGGGTTTGGTCATTTGGTTAAGGTAGAAGTTCCATTTTAAAGTTATTTTGTTCCTTTTGTATTTTATAAATAATTTCTGAGTGCTGCTTTGGCACTACAAAAATCCTCTTTCCTAACTTTTGATAATTTATTATCTATTAATAATTTTTTCTGGACCATTCATTATATTTTATAATATAAAGTGAAAATGGTAATTTTTGCTAATTCTGTTCTGCATTTATTAGCTACTACTATATAAAAACTTTGCTCTTTATTTCCCTTTTTATTTTTAGTATCACTATGGACTTTTTTCTGCTTATTTTTGTGTGTGTATAATATACACACAGAAGAATGCACATATAAAAATTGTACAGCCTGATGAATTGTTCCAAATGAACATCATCATGTAATCAATATCTAGAACAAGAAGCAAAATTTACCATCATCCTAAAAGCCTGTCATGTTTTCTCCTAGTTATTAGCTGCACCCCAACCCCAAGAGTAATCATTAGTATATTTTAGCTTTACCTGTTTCATTTGCTTAACTTTATAAAATTTATCCATATTGTTACATATAGTTTCTTCATTTTCATGTAGTATTCCATTATGTGATTACCACAATTTTTTTATCCTATTAAGGTAGTTATATTTTTAAAAAATATATTTTATTGATTTTTTACAGAGAGGAAGGGAGAGGGATAGAGAGCTAGAAACATCGATGAGAGAGAAACATTGACCAGCTGCCTCCTGCACACCCCCTACTGGGGATGTGCCCGCAACCAAGGTACATGCCCTTGACCGGAATCGAACCTGGAACCTTTCAGTCTGTAGACTGATGCTCTATCCACTGAGCCAAACTGGTTTTGGCTCCTATTAGATAGTTTTGTTGTTAATCCTCACCAGAGAATTTTTTTTCCATTGATTTTGTTAGAGTGGAAGTGAGGAAATAGAGGGGGGAGAGAGAGAAAAACATTGATGTGAGAGAGACACATTGATTGGTTGCCTCCCACGTGCTTCTGATAGGCCCAGGGATCAAACCTGCAGCCCAGATATGTGCCTTTGACCGGGAATCAAACTGATGTCCCTTGGGTTCTCAGGCCAATGCTCTAACCACTGAGTACACCGGTCGAGGCTTTCGGTAGTTTCTTATTGGCTCTTAGGAATAGTACTGCTATAATATTCTTGTGTATCTGACTTTGTTTTTATTTATTTAGTGTGTTATTATTATAGTTATTTTGTTGATGTTCAGTTATCCCAAGTATAACCAAATCATGTCTTTTGGACATGGCCCCATTAATCTTTGAATACTTGTCTGCATTGCAGCATAAAAAGATGCCTTAGACTTACCTTGTTTTTTTCCTTTCCATACTTGAAATCATCTACTTTTCAAGGATTCCCTACTTTCTTTTTATGGAGATTCCAAAATCAGGGTGCTAGGTATGCTTTTTGCTACTGGGTCTCATTGTGAGTAGGCTCGTTAGTATACAGAGTTAAAAATACATTTAAAAAGAAAAAGTTTGTTCATACTATCCTTTCCATTAGTTCAATTTTTAATATCAGTTGTCATATAATTTTTTACCATTTAAAGATTCTTGAAAGTATAAATTTCCCATCAGAGAAATATTTGTTCATCTTTTATAAAATTTATTATTACCAAAGGAATGCATGTTCATTGTAGAAATATAAATAAGCAAGAAGAAAATAACAATAAGGTATAACTTGAACCACTTGTTGCATTTTGGTGTATATCCTAATCTTCACAAATGAATATACCATTTCTCATTATTCCATATTTGTGCGTTTGCCTACTTGCTAAAATTTGTCACTCCAAAATCAATACTCCTGATGCTTTCACTGTCATTTGCAGACTTGTGCAGAACAGCAAATGATTTGAGTCTCCCAAAATATGTTTCCAGATGGAGTTAACTAAGGCAGTGCTCTGCTTTGTTTCTGCTCTCATGCTGTAAACAAGTTCTTTTTTTGTGGCCTGTTGCTATCATATTTTTCACGTTTTTGTTGTTTAATGGTGTTTTTGATGTTTGAAATGGGCCCTAAGCTAGTGCTGAAGTACTGTCTTGTGTTCTTAAGTGAAGGAAGTCTGTGATGCGCCTGATAGAGAAAATACGTGTATTAGCTAAGCTTTATTCAGGCATGAGTTTTAGTGTAGTTCGTGAGTTCAGTGTTAATGAATCAACAATGTATAATAAATTAGAGGCCTGATGCATGAAGTTTGTGCAAGGGGCTCAGCCCTTGCAGCTGCAGCAGCTTGCCGTGACCCTCGCAGCTCTGGCTTCATCCAGAAGGTTTTCCGGAAGGTCATTCGGCTATGTGGTCTAATTAGCATATTACACTTTTATTATTATAGATTAGGTGCCTTTAAACAGAGACATACATAAAGCAAAGGTTACATATTGATTAGCTGACAAAAATGTTGTGACTAGAGGCTCACAACATTCCTGTATTTCTCCTAGGAACAGCAGTGAATTCACTAATTTACTGTTGGCATCAACTTTATAAAACACTAGAGGCCCAGTGCACAAAATTCATACAGGTAGGATTCTTAGTGGCTGCCTTCCCAGCTGCCAGCTGCTGGCTGGGGTCTTTCTTAGTAAGGTGACCAGATGTCCCGCTTGTGGCAGGACAGTCCCAATTTTTAACAATTTGTCCCGCATCCCGTGGCATTTTAAAAAAGTCCCGATTTTTTGAAAGAATCTGGTGATCAGCACACAATATAGCGAGTGATCGAACTCCCGGTTGAACTCCTGAGGGGATACTTTACATATTAGGCTTTTATATAGATAGAGAAAGAGATAGATAGATAACTATTGCAAATAATGACAATTGACTGAAAATTTTAGTAGGCAAAAATGGGGCCATAAGAAAGATTGTTTTTCATTGATGAAATACGTTTTGAGAATGTTTGATGCACATTTGTTTTCCTCAGGACAACAGCGTTCTCGAATGCTAGCTACTCTCTTTAAGGATGAAAGGTGCCAGCAACTCGCTGCTTATGGTATCCTAGAGAAAATGTACCTGGACAGGATCATCAGAGGAAATCAACTGCAAGAATTTGCTGCCATGCTAATGCCTCACCAAAAAGCAACTACAGCTGATGGTAATGATCATGTTTTATAACTATGAGGTAATGAATATTTAGGTACATGCTAGTGGAAAGTATATTGAATTTGAAGCATCTTCATATCTTCATGTAACATTGTTATATATCACTTGATTAAAAAAAACAAAAACATTGACTGGGGTTGAGTATTGTATATTCAAGCTGTATTAAATAAGGCATTTGGGTTACTTTTAAAGTTTTTTTTTTTTTTTTTTTTGCTTAAGCAACAGAAATTTATTTCTCACAGTTATGGAATTTAGAAGTTGGAAACCAAGGTGTCAGTAGGGTTGGTTTCTTCTAAGGTCTCTCTCCTTGGCTTGCACATGGCCTCCTTATACTTTTAAAGTTTTGATGGGAATAAAGACAATGATTATGAGTTATTACATGCTTATACATTTTCAGGAAAAAAAGGATACATCTTTTTTTTTATTATTATATTTATTGACTTTTTTTTTTTTACAGAGAGGAAGGGAGAGAAATAGAGAGTTAGAAACATCGATGAGAGAGAAACATCAATCAGCTGCCTCCTGCACAACCCCTACTGGGGATGTGCCCGCAACCAAGGTACATGCCTTTAACCAGGATCGAACCTGGGACCTTTCAGTCCACAAGCCGACGCTCTATCCACTGAACCAAACTGGTTTTGGCGAGGATACATCTTTTAAAAACCAGTTTCAAACTTATAACTGTCTTATTTATATTTAAGGTTCTAGCATCTTGGACAGAGCTGTTATTGAACACAATTTGTTGTCTGCAAGCAAATTATATAATAATATTACCTTTGAAGAACTTGGAGCTCTTTTAGAGATCCCTGCAGCTAAGGTATGTTCTTGTTTCTAATACATAAAAGAGAAGTTAAGAGACTAGACTATTGGTGAAATGAGAAAATAAAATATATAATTGATAAAAACATTGGCAACTGTGATAAAAATACACATAAAAAGCCTCAGGTAACTGGAAATAAATTATTTGAATTTTAGAATAGTATGTAATGGAATTGTCTTTGTTTTTTTTGTTTTTGTTTGTGTTTATGATAAAGTGATCTAGAATGGAAATCTTATTATTATTTTTTTTATATATATATTTTTAAAAATATATTTTATTGACTTTTTACAGAGAGGAAGGGAGGGAGATAGAGAGCTAGAAATGTCAATGAGAGAGAAACATCGACCAGCTGCCTCTTGCACACCCCCTACCAGGGATGTGCCCGCAACCAATGTACATGCCCTTGACCGGAATTGAACCTGGGACCTTTCAGTCCGCAGACCGACGCTCTACCACTGAGCCAAACTGATCTCGGCTAGAAAGGAAATCTTAAAGGGTTTCCAGGTTTATGGGAATATTAGAGTCTGTTAACATCCATTTCATAGTGGTTTCTGATTTCTGACTAACTTAAGATTTTGATAGAGGCCTTATTACCTCTATTTTCTGCCCTAGATTAACTCAAATGTTAAATATTTATTCTCTTTGAGAGAATACATCAGACTATTCTATTATAATTTCTGTGCTTAATTTAACTTAAGAAGTTGACTGAGTTACTAGGGAATTAATTTCATTCTTTGTCATGATAAGGGTTTAGAAGCTATGTATAAAACCCAACAAAGTACCAATCCTATTTAGAGGACATTTCAGGAATCATTTACAAAACATTTTCTTAATTTAATTTAATTTAATTTTAAATATTTTATTGATTTTTAACAGAGAGAAAGGGAGAGAAATAGAGAGCTAGAAACGTTGATGAGAGAGAATCATCGACCAGCTGCCTCCTGCACACCCCCTACCGGGGATGTGCCCGCAACCAAGGTACATGCCCTTGACCGGAATCGAACCTGGGACCTTTCAGTCCGCAGACCGACGCTCTACCACTGACCCAAACTGGCTTCAGCCATTTTCTTAATTTTAAGTAATAGTAAAAGCAAGCAATTAACCTTACCTTTATCTAACTTGTAAAACTTAAAGTCATGTACTTATGTGTCACATCTTTTCTGTGTTAGTGCAGTTTTAAGTAGGATTTTTAACAAAATTCCTTTACATGTTCACATTCAATATGTAATAAAGGAAGTGGAATAGTGTGGGAACCAATGCTCAATTACCATTAAAAAATGCTTTTGCCTGGCCAGTGTGCTCAGTGGTTGAACATTGACCTATGAACCAGGAGGTCACAGTTCGATTCCCAGTCAGGACACATGCCCTAGTTATGGGCTCGATGCCCAGGGTGGGTGTGCAGGAGGAAGCCAATCAGTGATTCTCATCATTGATGTTTCTTTCTTTCCTTCTCCCTTCCTCTCTGAAATCAATAAAAATAAAAAAACCCAGATGTTTATTCTTAGGCTTTGAGTTATCGATATGATCCCTTTATGAACAGACTAAGGAAAATGAATATATTTTTAACAATAAATGCCAGTCACTTCTAAACAAATTGTTTAGAAGTGACTTATGATTGTTGTGAAGGTGGTCAGATTTATAACCCAATTTACTCACACATAGTAAATATGAAGCATGTCTTCAGACACTAGGTAAAGAACCTTTTGTTCCCTGTAATTGTTTTTAAATCCTTTCAGTTCTCTTTTAAATTTGAACATCCTTTTAACCTTTCAATTTTCTTCAAAAATATTAGGTTCTTAGAAAGGTTTTGGGGTGTGAACACTGAAAAATGAAATGAAATAAAGTGAGAAAAAGTCATGTGTTTTTAAAAACATTTTTATTTATTTCAGAGAAAGGTGGGGAGAGAGAGAGAGAGGGAGAGAGAGAGGAAAGAAGCATCAATGATGAGAATCATTGAACGGCTGCCTCCTGCTAGCCCTCTACTGGAGATCCTCTAGCCTGCAACCTGGGCATGTGCACTTTCCTGGAATTGAACCCGGGACCTGTCAGTCCCCAGGCCAACAATCTATCCACTGAGCCAAACCAGCTAGGGCTAAGTTGGCTTTTTTTGAGGTGTGGATCTCAGTGGAAAAACAAAATTGTTAGTTTGTCTTAAGCAGAGATAAAAACTTTTGTCCAAAAATAAAAAATTGTTGTCTAAAATCTCACAAGCAAAATAGATCCCAGTTAACTTAAAACAATGGATGTACCCAGAAGGAATTGGTGTGGTATAATAGGAGGCTTTACCAGATTTACTCTTGTAATGAATGGCAGATAAACACATTTGTAAGCTTAGTGATGGGTAGCTAAACCAAGAGTTTTCAATTGTCTCAGCATATGTGAATGTGTTAGATATAATTAAAGTGTCTGATAATTATTTTTATTTAAACAGGCAGAAAAGATAGCATCACAAATGATAACAGAAGGACGTATGAATGGATTTATTGATCAGATTGATGGAATAGTTCATTTTGAAAGTAAGAAATTTTGTTGGTTTTTCCGTCATAATGAAAAGTCTGTGAGGTATTATATATTTATGATTAAAACATGTTGAGCAATTTCTTTTGACGTAGACTTACTACTGGAATAGTCTTTCTCAGAGAAATAATTTAAGATATATTTTTGTGAACTTACATTAATGCAGCATTTTCTATGCTGTAGAAAAATTTGAAACTGGAATTGTCATCAGTTCGTTCATTTACTCTTCAAACATTTATTGAATGCATACCATGTAGCAGGCATGTAGAGATGACAGCTGCATTTCCTATTCATTAGACTAATGGAGGCAGACAGGTAAGTAGATCTCTTGACTTTCTCATTTTCTATACCTCCTCAGCCCAGTTCCTACACCATTTACACTGTGGACTTTGCTGTGCCCAGAACCAGTTCACTTGTAAAATTTTAGTTTGAAATATCCCACTCAGACCATAATAATTTTCCTCTCTTTCTCGTGGTCTGTGTCAGTTATTTCATTTCAACTCTTTCTTGCCTGCATTGAAGCCTCTCATCTGTTGACTTCCTTTTCCAGTCAGCCCAGCCCTTTTTTGTCTTTAATGCTCTTCCCATCCGTTACTCTTTTACAGATACCCTAGAACACTTGTCTGTTAACCTTTGTTCCAACTGTCCAGCAAAACTTCATCTTGAATGAACCCATTCCATTTTTCTCATACCTATACTTGAGTAGCTAACTAATGTTGGAGAAGAGTCAGAGCACCAGACAGATTGAACACAACTGCAAGTTCAAGGTCATGGGTCCCCAACACTTCCTGAGATTCTTTTTTTTTTAAAATATATATTTTATTGATTTTTTAGACCGACGCTCTATCCACTGAGCCAAACCGGTTTCGGCTACCTTTTAAAAAAAAAAATATTTTATTGATTTTGTACAGAGAGGAATGGAGATAGAGAGTTAGAAACATCGATGAGAGTCATCAATCAGATGCCTCTTGCACACCCCCTACTGGGGATGTGCCCGCAACCAAGGTACATGCTCTTGACCGGAATCGAACCCAGGACTTTTCAGTCCCAAGCCGATGCTCTATCCATTGAGCCAAACCGGTTTCGGCTACGTGAGATTCTTGATACATTTCTTTAGTCTACTCTTTTTCCTACTCTGCAGTGATTATTTCAGATTTCATTTTTCTTAAATCTCTGACTTTTCTCCTTCTATCTCAGTAGAGAACCTTGTTTCCTATTTCACAGAGGGGAAAAAAAAGGTATCTGTGAAATTATCTTCTTTATCAGATTCATAAACTTGTAAGTATTAAATAGAGATCTAATTCTTTTCTTCTTCCATGTTATACCTGAGATGGTTTCTACCTCCCTCTCCAGTTGTTCCACTTGTGCTTTGGATCCCTTCTGTGACCTCTGCCACTACCCCAATTTCCCCAACATTTTTAGGAACATGAGCTTAGCAATTATTTTTATGTTTTCATCCTTTGAGTTTTTAAAATATCAAATAGGATTGATCATTTACTACTTCTTGCTATCTCTTACCCCACCCCCTTCATCTTGACTTTGTCATCTTCTGTTTTCTCTCCTACTTCTCCAGGTATTCTTCCTAGTCATCTTTGTAGATTCAGTATTTAGTGCTTTAAATTTAAATACTGGGATGGCTTGGGTTTACGTCTAGGCCTTTTCTTCTCTATTAAGTTTTCCTAGGCAATCTCATCTATTTGCATTGATTCCGTTATCGTTTCTATGCAGGCAACACTTGCATATACTTTTCTGGGGTAAAGCTCTGTCCCAGACGCAGTGTTCTAATTGATTATTAGGTGTTTCTCACTGGATTGCATCGTGGGCATCTCAAAATGAACATATCCCAAAATGAATTCATTATCTCTCCTCTCTACCTGAAGCCATCCAGTAACCACATTGTTCACTTTCTCCAGCATTCCTTTTTTTAATTTAATTTTAAATTTATTGATTTTTGGAGAGAAAGAGGAAGAGAGAGAGAAGGAAACATTGATTTGTTGTTCTACTTATTTATGCATTTATTGGTTGGTACTTACATGTATCCTGACTGTGGATCAAACCCACAACCTTGGTGTGTTGAGGCTATATATATGCTTTAACCAACCAAGCTACCTGGCCAGGGCCTCCAGCATCCTTTATCCTTGATCTTACCTCTTCGTTGCTGTCCAGAATCCTTTCAATTTAACCTCCTAGGTACATCTGGAATCCACATGCTTTCCTTCATTTTTTATTGTCACCAGCTTATTCTGAACCACCACAACCTCTTCTGGCCTTGAGAAATAGCTTTTGACTTATTTTTCTCATATCTATAATTGCTCCTTTCTAGTCCAGCTGCCTTAACATAGCCAAAGTGATTGTGATCTTTTAAAAATGCAAACAGTCCTGACCAGAGTGACTTCGTTAGTTGAAGTGTCGTCCTGTGCACTGGAAGGTCTCAGGGTTGATTACTGGTTAGGCCCATACCTATTCTCTGTATGTGACCTAACCAGTAATATTTCTCTCTCTCCTTCTCTAAAATCAACTAATAAATGCAAACAAACAAAAGAAAGTATTAAATTATGTCAGTCTCTTCCTTGGCATGCTTATGAGTGATTTTTTATCAGTTTTTGTAAAGTTTGGTATTACTTTAAATGGTATCACTTCCCCCTATTTTTCATTTCTAACTTTATATTGCTCATATAGAAAAAAACCCTGCTGGATTCTTGATGAATTGTTTTTTGCTTTTTTTTGTTTGTATGTTTATTTTGGGTTTAAATATTGAAACATTTATTCATCAGAGTCAAGTAAAAACAGCCTTGAATATATAGTATACACACACTTTGAATAATTATAAAGACAGTGTTTATTAAAATACATTTCATTTTCAAAATTGAGCTGTCAGCTGCTAAAGTGTGTGTACATTTTTTGGGACACCTTGAAATAGATGTATTTTTTCCAGCAGATGGCAGTGTCTTAGTCAAAGGAGATGAGACCGTTTCAGTGAAGCCGTCTTATTATAGTTGTGGTTGAGGTTGTTCGGTTGATTTATTTTGTTTTCACAAATAATAATCGGTGTGTACATGCCTTTTTGTTTTATTTTATATCTTGTGCTAGTGATTTAGGTGCTTTTCTTAATTAGCTTAATTTTATTAGTCAAGACTTTTGGAGTTAACTTTTAAAAATTCATACTTCTGTATATTTCTCAAAACTTACATCTGCTGTGAATACAAAAGAGTAATTTCAACTTTTACATTATTTATTTTTTATTTAGCACGAGAAGCCCTGCCAACATGGGACAAACAGATCCAATCGCTTTGTTTCCAAGTGAATAACCTTTTGGAGAAGATCAGTCAGACAGCACCGGAATGGACAGCACAAGCCATGGAAGCCCAGATGGCTCAGTGACTCCTTGCAGAACTTCTGTGCACACTACACCTTTTCCCATGCTGCACAGATTAACTTCACTGTCTTCAAAGCATTTGCATCATGACCTTATGTATTTCAATCCCTTTTATGCTGGATTCCATTTAAAGAAAACATTAGAGCAGGAAGTACAAGCATTTAAAAATATGTAGTTCCCATATATTCAGGGTTTCTGTGTATCAAGCTAACTCAGAAGTTTTGAAAGCGTTTTCTTTAAACAGAGTAAGTGAAATATCTGTGGCTAAGAAGTTTGGGATTTGTGATAACTTTGTAGTCATGTAAAACTCAAGTGCTTTGTGCCTCTCCAAATGTGGTTATTCTAATAAATGGAGAAGTGAGCCAAATAAAGGTAGTACTTTGTTTTAAATGAGTGAACTGTTTTTTTTCTTATTTCTTGTTTGGTGAATCCTCACCTGGGATATTTTTTCCATCGATTTTTGGGGAGAGGGAGGGAGGAAGAAAGAGAGAGAAACATTGATGTGAGAGAGACACATCAATTAGTTGCCTCCTGGATGAGCCCTGACCTGGGCTGGGGAATGAATCTGCGATCCAGGAATGTGCCCTTTACTGGGAATCGACCCTAAGACCCTTCAGTAGGTCGATGCTTTACCACTGAGCAACACTGGCTAGGGCTTCCTTTTTCCTTTTAATTAGGCAGACAGTTACACCATATGCTAGAAATGCATAATGCCTGTTCTCTAGCCATTCACAGTCACAGAGCCTATGATAATACGTGTAATACTTTTGTATCAAATACTGGAGCACACAGGGAAGAGCTGAGGGAAGCACCTAGGCCTGGTTCTGACCTGTGAATGGGAAGGATGTGCTGGGCTGGCTCCCATTGGGCACGGGCTGGCCAGCCGGGATGACTTACTTTCTGCAGTAACAGGAACTGGCCAGCAGGGGGCGACAGCCTCTGCCACCTCCCAAGGCAGGCAGCTGGGCTGGGTGGAGCCCACACCTGGTTCCCCTTCAGAAGGGGTAAGAGGGAGGCTGAAGGAGGGCTTTGGGGCCAGGTGGGCATCCAGCTGCCCGGGGAGGCCTGTTCTGCCTGCCACCCTGCAGACGGGTCCCCTCTGGTGACTGAGCCCTCCAGGAGCTGGACATCCTCAAACCAGCCTGGGAGGTGTCGGGTGATGACCCCTTAGGCAGAAGAGTGCAGCCACTGCCCCCTCCCATTCACACATCCCAACACACCCTCCCTCTCCCAGGAGGAAACGCACAGAGTCTGGGCTGACGTCCATCTTCCCACCAAGCAGCTTCGCACCCAATAGCCCGCCTGCTGTGCCCACTGCACTGCACTGTCTGTGCGGAGCAGCCCCAGGGAGAGGAGACAGGCTGAGGCAGAGACGCAGGGATGGATCTCCCTGTGAGCCCTGCAGTGAGAGGTCTAGGGAAGGTGTGTGTGTGGGGGGGAGGGGTCCCCTCTGCCAGGGAGCACAGGGCTTAGCCCTTCCCAGAACCCGCCCAGAGCCCCCAAAGGAGGGGTCTGTTTCCCGAGGCTGCTGCTCCGATGACTATAGACGGGCCTAAACCGGCAGGAACAGGTGCTCTCCCCATCTGGGGGCCAGAATCTGAAATGAGGGTGTCCCGGGCTGTGCTCCCTGGGAGGGCTCCAGGCCAGGGTCTTTCCTGACTCCTCAGCTTCTAGTGGCTCCTTTGCTCCTGGCCCCGTCCCTTCCGTCTCCCCTTGTCTTCACACGGCCTCTTCTCCATCCTCACGCGACTCCTCCGCCTTCAGGTGCCCCTTCCTCCGCCCTCACAGAACCCCACACTGTGGGCACTTCCGGCTGTCCCCGTGCCCATGGCACAGGCGAAGCCACTGCAGCACAGAGAGGGCGAGGGGCTTCTTGGAGGGCACACAGCAGTGAAAGGACAGAGCTGAAAATGGAAGCGTGGGCTGCCCAGAGCCTCTGTCTCTTTGGCCTGTGACCTCTGGGGAAGCAGCCCTTCCCCCTGTGGCCATTTGCTCTGATGGGCCTCACCCTTCCCCTCACCCCCAGCAGACAGGGGTCCTGTCGCGGCACCAGTGCCTCCCTCCGGACAGCTGCCCTCTCTGTCCCGCCATCCCTCCCAGCTGGGAACCTTGGCGATGGGCGGTCCGCTGCATTGGGGCGAGGGCCTTGCGTGCAGAGCATCCCGCCTCCCCTGGCGTCTGTGGTGGAGATGACAAAGGACCATTATTCCCCCCCCCCCCCCCACCTTCCCCCCTGTCTGGCTTACGCCGCCGCCCGCCTCTCCTGGCAGATTTTGCTTTCCCTCCAAATGAAAAGGATTCGTGCAGCCTGCCTGCATTCGCTCTGTGAGATGTGGCTCTGCCCGGTGCCTCCGGGCCCAAGTCCCCGATGCCACCCCACCTCCGTGGCAGCATCTCTCACCCGCTGGGTCCTCAGTCAGCACAGGCACCCTCAGAGCTCCCCTGCAGCTCCAGGGACCTGCTGAGCCCGGGCCCCAGCCGGTCACCAGTTCCCCAGGACCGGCCTGCAGCCATGTGAGCACTCCGCCCCATGCCCCGTCTCCCTCGCCCTCCACTCCAACACACCCTCCCCCTCCCAGGGGGAAGTACCGAGAGCACAGAGTCTGTGCTGGCTTCCAGCTCCTGGAGGGCTCAGCCATCAGAGGGGACCCGTCTGCAGGGTGGCAGGCAGAACAGGCCTCCCCGGGCAGCTGGATGCCCACCTGGCCCCAAAGCCCTCCTTCAGCCTCCCCCTTACCCCTTCTGAAGAGGAACCAGGTGTGGGTTCCACCCAGCCCAGCTGCCTGCTTTGGAAGGTGGCAGAGGCTGTCGCCGTCTGTTGGCCAGTTCTTGTTACTGCAGAAAGTAAGAGTCAACTTGCCACCCAGCCCATGCCCACTGGGAGCCAGCCCAGCACATCCTTTCCATTCACAGGCTTGGGTGCTTCCCTGCCAAACTGGTGAACAATGACGTTAAAGGGGAAAATTTAAAAGTTGCCAGTAGGAGATATAACTGTCAAATGAAGCAAGAAGCACTGGGCTAGGAGACCCTTCTGAAGGGAACACAAAACGAAGATGTTTTTGGATCACGAAGAGGTATTAGGATTTCTCACCAGCTCCGCCACACCAAAAATAAACATTAAAAGTTCATCAGCCAAAACTGGTTTGGCTCAGTGGACAGAGCATCGGCCTGCGGACTGAAAGGTTGCAGGTTCGATTCCAGTCAAGGGCATGTGCATTGGTTGCGGGCATGTCCCCGGTAGGGGGTGTGCAAGAGGCAGCTGATTGATGTTTCTCTGTCATCGATGTTTCTAACTCTCTATCCCTCTCTCTTCCACTCTGTAAAAAAAAAAAAAAAAAAAAATCAATAAAATATATTTTAAAAAGAAGAAGAAAAAGAAAGTCTTTAAAAAAAAAAAAAAAGTTCATCAACCCTAATCGGTTTTGCTCAGTGAATAGAGTGTCGGCCTGCGGACTGAATGGTCGCAGATTCGATTCCAGTCAAGGTCCTCTCTGTTAAAATTCAATTAAAAAATATATATTTATATAAAATCTCAAAAAAAAAAAAAAGTTCATCGGGCAAAGGGAAAAGTATCCCAGATGAAGAAAGTAAATAAAGTAAGTCTAAGAGTGTCAAAGTAAAAGACATAAAACTAAATAAATGTCGACAGTTTTAAGTAATATCCTGTGGGATTTAAAACATATATACAAGAGACATAATTAACAAAACAAAACAAAAAAGTTGTCAATGAGAACTTATAAATCTGGAATCCAAAGTCTTATCTGAGACCTGGGCAAAAAAATTAAATTAAATTAAAAAAATAAATAATCTATATATTAAAAAAGCCAGTATCCGTAACGACTGGAACGACTAATGTCCAGTCGCTATGATGCCCACTGTGGCCAGCAAACTGGCCTGATCAGGGGGTGGGGCCGGCCGGCCAACCTCCTGCTTCCCCTCCCACTGGCCAGCCCGTCCCTGATCAGCCCGCCCCACCATTGTAGGCCTGCAGCTCCCCTCAACCTCACACCCATTAAGATGCAAAACCCCCATACAAAACAGTACAGAAACTAAGTGTTGATGAATATGTGAAGAAATTGGAACTCTATGAATATGTTGGTGGGTTTATGAAATGGTACAGTCATGGTTCTGTCAAAAATAACATGGTTTAATTAAACACAGAATTAATTATTATATGGTTCAGCAATTCTTTTTTTGGATAGATAGTTTAAAAAAATTGAAAGCAGGGTTTCAAACAGATATTAGACACCCATATTCATAGCAGCTTTAGTCACAATAGCTGAAATGTGGAAGCAACCCAGTGTCCATCAAATGCATAAACAAAATATGCCACACACACACACACATACCAGGAAACATTATCCTTTAAAAGGAGGAAAAATTCCGACTTATGTACAACATAAATGAATCTTGAGGACATTATGGAAAGGGAAATAAGCCAATCACACACACACACACACACACACACACACACACACACACACACAAAACTGTATGATTTCATTTATAAGAGTTACTCAGAGTAGTCAAAGCCTTAAAGACAGAAATAGAATAGGGGTTGTCAGGGCCTGGGGGACAGGGAATGGGAGTTACTGTTTAATACGTTCAGAGTTTCAGTTTTACAAGATGAAAAGTCTTGGAGATGGAGGGTGGCAATGACTGTACCACAATATGAATGCACTTATTACCGCTGAATTGTACACTTAAAAATGGTTATTTTTATGCTATGTTTATTTTACCACAATAAAAAATAGAATAAAATACTAGTAGCAGATTTAGAACCTGCTATAAATATTTCTCTCTTTACTGCGTCCAGCGTGGCTAGAGAGCAGACAGGAGTCCTAAGTAGGGGCGATGGGAGATTGAGAAAATGGAAGAGACAGACAGACAGGAGAGAAAGCTGGGACCCGGTGGACAACTGGCCCTCGATGGAGAGACAGTGACCCAGAGCCGGTGTAGCGTGTTTATTTTATACAGTATAATTCCATTTTAAAACAAATGTTTT